ACCTAGAAAGGGGAAAAGATACACAAACAGGAAGGTGTGATGTAACAGTGCCACTCACTGAGACACCATGACATCCCCATATATTCAAAATAAACTTTCAGGTGAATATTGTATAGTCGGATTTATGTAAAAAATATCACTTTATTAAGCTTTCTTATATAGTAAAACTAGTCAAATAGCTTTATTTGAACACACTGTTCCCAGATGCAGGTATTTTAATTACTGCTTTTGAATAACAAAATAATTACCAATAACTGGCATGAAAACAAACCATCTGATGTGACGTGCCAAGCCCAAACAAACGGACAGAACAAAAGGGGGAGGGCTGCAGTCGATGCAGAACACAGCCACTCTCTTTTACAATATGTGTACTCTGTTTGAACTCGTCATTTTTCCACTTTGAAAGAGAGAGAGGCTTCATGCTTGAAAGTCTCATTCAGCTGTTGGCACGCTGGTGATTTAGAAGTGTATTAAAATGGCAATGTTGATAATCAAAAAGACCTTTCTCAGGGAGAATTTAAGAAACGCAGCACAGATGGGCTGGGGAGATAAATAAAATTTTCTGTCACATCAGTTGGGAAATTGCGTTGCGACACCCCCAGGGGAGAGAGCGCTTTGCTCCCTCCTGCTGATGCCCCCCGCCCTTCTGCTTCACGTTTTTGGTTTTTTTCTGTTGTTGTTGTTTTATTGCTGTCTAAGCTAAGTGGCAGGGAGCCGCTTCCCTTTAGACTCCCCGCTCCTTCTGTTTTTCGGGACAGAATGTCGCAGCACACCCTGATATTTTAGGTCTGAGAGCAAATTAGGTTTCTTAGGAACATAGAGGTTGCATTTCTTTGTCAGTTCCCTCCAAGCGGATCCCAGCTTTTCCGTCTTGAGTCTGGTTTGGATTTAAGACCGTTTCTTTGAAATATCCTTTTTTCATCCACGTCAAATTTCTTTTGCGCACATACCGAAGTAGCATCACTGATTTTCACTGATTTGTATTGTAGTATTCCTTAGTAGCCATGATTATATTACACATATTTCTATTTTCAATTTGGGCAAACATATATGCATGTATGCTGTCTCTTCACCATGTTAAGATTTACATTGTGCAAATACAGGTCATACATTTTCATAATACTTTTTAGAATGACATTTAAATCTAGATCCCGACCCATGATAATTTCTGCTGGAATCCACGCTTCCTATGTTTGCGTATGTATGAAAAAAAAAACAAGACCGGCAAAGGCGCATGCAGTAGTGCTGAGGTAGCTTCATTGCGCTTCCCATAAATTCACGTGCTGAAAGGTGGAGCCATGTGTGCACGAGTGTGGCACAGATAGGGAAAGTGATTCCGTTATGACGCCAGTGAGGAGGTGCTTGACAGCCACTTTGATTTCTTACAGCTCGAAGGATAGCCAGATCTACAGAGACAAACTTCCACTCATGATTTAGCTGGCCTGTCTGCCATGGAGACTAATACAGTGTCACCGCATACTCTTCCTCTGACTGCTCATCCTCACCTTAGTCACAATGTCACTCTTCCCTCTATTCCTATTCTCGACAATTACCTGAGAGTATGCGCGTCTACTTACGAGAGTTAATTAGGCCGTGTGTGACTTTGTGGGCTGTCCCGATAGGCTCTTGGTCCTTCAAGATGTTTCTCAATCAAGCAGAGCGGTTGAGAAGTCACACATATCGCTAAAGTCATGAGTGCAGCAATTCTGAATGTGTAAGTTAGCAAAGAAATGCCTCTAATTTCAGTGGGTATGCATGCTTGAGGGGCAGCTGGTGGAAGGTATGGCATCTACGGCGCCAGTCATCAAGCTGAGGAGGATACAAGAGATGAAGCCATCCACAGAGTTTCTGCAATCCTTCACCCAGTAGGGGGTGCTATCCAGCCCACATTTTTTTTGCAAAAGCAGGCCTGTTTCTCATTTCTGCCCCAGAAGTTAGATGTCGTGTCAGAAAGAACGCATTTGAAGTGCCTATGCCGGCTAATCTGGGCTCAAGAAGGTATGTGATTTATGGAAGGAATATTTAGCTGTGCTAGAATCCTGCTGGACATTTCAGAAGTCTATCTATCCTCTCCTTCGCTCTTTGTTGAGTTGGGCGTGTTCTGATCTGTTTTTCATCAGAACATCCAGGTCCTGTGGTGTCAGGAACTTAGAGGAAATATATACAGTCCATAACATGAAAGGGCCATTGGCCCAGTACCGGGACAGGCTGCGTTGGGTACGTAGGGCCAGGTTGTGCACTCTTCTCCTGGCTCATGCATGAAGAAGCACCACACAGGCATACTGGAGAAACTCATTGAAGATGACACAATGTAGTCATGGGTAGCTTTCATCTTATACTGAATAGTAATAAACTATAATGTAGTATAAAAAATTGCACTAGAAGAAACGACAACTGTCCTGAAAGCTGGAGGATGTTGATGGCCTCCTTCGTGTGCCATGCCTTCTTCATGTCCATCATATGAGAGGATGGACTGCCCTCAATCAGACTTTCTCAATCAAGCCTCAAGCAGGAGGGCAGATAATCAACTATCCGGCCATAAATGATCCTGGCATTTTCCCTCTTATCATCCACGAGATATTTCCCTGATCATTGGCAGAGTATTGATCTGAGACTCCATTCTCATCATAAGCGTGTGTTGGTGGCTTCAGAAGTTCTCTCTCCTTGCATCACCGTAAAGCGTATAAAACACAAGACCAGACAAATTAAATCATTCCTATTGAGTGCTGAGAGGATCTCCGGTAAATCTGCTAGAATCTATGCACAAATAATCCCATGAGAACTGCAGAGCGGTGCAATAAGCACTAGGACATCGAGTCCATTATTCTTAAAAGTATCTTCAAATTAATGGCAACAAAGAAAAGATACTACTTTTGGTATGCATCTGTAAAAAAGTTTACAAACATTTATTGTCTGTACTGTTAAACAGCTAATATACATTTCTGTAATTACTCCAACATAATGATAGTAATGCAATCCAGCACGCCAGTTTTAATAAAATCAAGTAAGCAATTAGAAATAAAAATAAAACACTGACTAATAGTACTAGTCATCCAGTCTTCTCATTAGGAAGATGGCTAAATGCTACAGTGGGATAAATGTTACATTTAGTTATATAATAAGTTTTATTGTTTTGTGGTTAAGATGCTTGCTGATGGATGTTCATATTCTACAACTGTCTGATAGAATATTTACAGTGATAATAGGTACAGCATGCAACCTCATTTGATAATTAAATACTATCAAAGGATTTGTTGTGCCACACTCACAAGATAGTCCTTCCCAGCATGAAAAAAAGGATTTTCAGGTAAAAAAAATAAAAAATCTTAATGCACTCTGATTCAGCTCTTGGAGTTATGTTCCGAACAATGGTTGGATGTGGGCACATTTCTACGGGACATTTTGTGAGAATGACTGTGGGTCTCAGATAATAGTTATATTTGAGGGCTTAGTGAAAATATGTGATAGTCCTGATGGCTGAAAAAAATCATATTCTATCTCTAAGAGCTTTTGTAAGTGTTTGCCAGCAGCAATCTGACAGGATCTCTCCTCCCACTGCCAACCTGAGAATGACAGCTAAAAAACACCGTATGTTACTTTGTGCAGCAGCTACCAAATATCCTGAAAGAAAAAAAGATACAATTTTACCACATTTGCGGAAGATGTCCACTGCAGAGTATGGATGGGGTACATCGTTCATTAGCATTTTTGTTTTTATTTTTTCAGTTTTTAAGCTACTGATTCCCTGAAGGGAGGAACATAGAACAAAGTTGCCTCTAGCAATAAAGGTTCCAACCCACAGGACCAGCATTGCATTGTGCAGTTAGTACAGGCTGAGGGGTGCAGACTGCCACCTGATAAATAACCAATGAAGGAGCTGGATGGCAGCCTGGGTGCACACATTCCATGCTTTATTTTTAATGGTTGCATTAAAATGACCATAATCAACCAGCATCTGTACCATTCCACATGGGTGCAATTTGGCACCCAGAGATGTGGATTTAAATATTACCACTGCAAGTTTAATGTTGTTTTAATTCATTCTGGCACGCCAGGCAGTGCAGAGGAAGGCTTCTTGTTTTGAGGGCCGGGGATTTCAGCAGAAGCTGGCTCTGAGTTTACGCCCAACCCTACGCCTTTTCACGCTGCTCATCACTTTCCTTAGTTGCTTGTTAATTTATTTATTCTCCGTCAAGTGGCTGGGTCTACGCTGGGCTTTGGGCATCGCATTCAGCGTTTTTCCTAAATAGCCTTAAACACTGCAGTCAGTGCTTTCTTTGTCTTTAGGCTTCAACAGCACATTAGGGATCTTGGGTAATATGTTCTAGTTATTGAGAGTAATCTCAACCTTCACCTTGAGCTACTCATCTGACTTAGTGGATCCTCAAGTGCCAAATATGGCCGTTTCCTCCATGGTGAATTTTGAGCATTAAATGTTTTTTAACTATTGATTTGGAAGTGCAGAAAAATAACGAAGTATAATGCATGCACTTTCTTTTATCGCACGATGTTTCAATACATTTAGATTATATTAGTGTTTTGCTTCTCATTACACAAATGCCATTGGCTAATTCTATGTACAACTGTGTATAGAGTCAATGCTCCTGAAATTTCTCCAAATAAATTATATTCAGTGCAAGTTGCGTGTCATTGTAGACACAGGCATCTGGGGCTGCAGTGCCTAATATTTTGCCTAACGAAAAGCAAAGGCTGCATTATGTGGGCCATTGAGGTAGAAGTGGAATCTGGTTAGTGACAGGTTAACTAGTCTCCGTCTGAAAGGCCTGAGTGACTGTCTCGGTTTCTCCTTCTTCACATGCTTCTGTACTCACTATGTACTCACTTTGCCTCGTATTTTCACTGTCTCGTAAAGTGCTTCGTGCCTGGGCTTTTCTCACACTCCTTGTGGGAATGGCGGGGAGGTAGTTTGTGTATCCCTGTGTCGGTATCTGGCAGGTTTTAATTGTTCACTGGGAAGTCACAGTTCCTTTCCGTTACAGGAGTACAACATTCACGGCTGGTGGGTGGGGAAGCTGAACGGTAACATAGGGATCGTTCCCAAGGACTTCCTGCAACGCGCCTACATCGTGTGAACTACAAGGAGTAAGTGTACATGTTTACATTCTCATAACAGCATCACAAGATTAGAATTAATATTATAAACTAATTTTAATAATCATAATGACATTATCTCAAAATAATTGCCTTAATTTCCAATTTGTGAATTAAGTTTAAAATTTGAGCAGTACGTCAAAAAAATGTACTGTTATATGCTCCATCTGGTGGCTGAAAGTAAAACTGCATTTATACAGTACATCGCGAATAATTTATACGCTACAGGAAGGGTAAGTTTAGAAACTCGGATTAATGTTTAACAGTGGTTAAAGCTCTACAATGCATAAACAATGCATCAATGCTTAAACTACTTTAATGACACCAAGTTACTCTACAGGCACAAATACTTACATTCCGTAGATGTATACAATCACAAATATAAACTAGATCGTTTTTTCAAACCGAGCTGAAACGCTCTTGAATCCACATTCTATCATTGTTGCATTTTCAGTATTTGAGGACTACATTTACAACATATGCTTTAGACTATTATTATACTGAATGTCCAAATTAATATACTTTTTTTCTATTTCAGGTCCGAAGGTTGATAATGAATATTTTTATGAAGATTCCACTATACCCAAAGAATTTAATACACTGTATGACAAACTGAGAATTTATTGTTTGTGACATGCTGATTATTTAATGGAAAATTTGTGTAAATTACTGTTCTTTACATAGTAATGCTTAGTTTTCATTGTGCATACAATTTACAATTAAAATGAAAATTCAGCTCTATTGATAATTCAGCTGATTGTTAAGATATAGAAAATATGGACATTTTTAACACAGAAAACATACTGTATTTTCAAGGAGCATATTCCTACGAAAGCTATTTAAAAAGGAAAAAAAAATGTAATAGTGCCTTTTTAAAGAATTACAATATTATTGTTAGGGATAAAAACAGTGAAATCAGATAAACTGGGATGTACTTTACAAAGCAATTTAAACTAATGAAAGTAATTTAGAGCAACCGTGCTTTGTAAAATTAAATTTTCATGTTCTGCAGTGAATCGTGTTTAAAAATTTACGAACAAACGAATCTGTAAATACGAGAGGACTGCCGTGAAGGTACATAGCACATCAGACAAAGGGAGGAGATTTGCAGATTCAAATATTGCAGAGTAGTTCTTAAGTTTCTTGCTGAATTTGTTCTGCTGTAAAAGGAGCATTTTACAATACTATGCAACTGTGTTTCATAAAGGCCACTAGGTGTCAGCAGTGGTCTGTGAAGTAGAACTGGCACCTTTGTAAGATGTGAAGCGCAAGTCCTGTCACCCTTTCTTAACATTTCAATAGCTCCCCTGCGCCACGTGTGCATAAAATATGATTTCTTAACATTCTTTTCATCGGTTTTTTTATAATTATTATTTCATACAAAAATAAAATGGGCCTAACTGAGTATTATTACTGTGGGCAATGACTCGGCACTGACTCTTACCAGGGACAACAGATCCTACTAGTTTGTGCATGATTCTCAATCTACGACACACACCATTAAATCCCTTAAAATTATCAGCATCAAAGCATGATTTTTAAACCCTGAAAAGTCTCAAAACCGCTAGGGGCATGAGTAATGATTAACTTATCCTAAATGCACGTAGCCCCACGAGTCATACGTCATAATCTGAACACAGTGGCCAGCAGGCTGTTCATATTTATGAGGCTTTACCTGAGCTTTATTTTCTTTCAGACTTGGACACGGAACGTTACAGCAGGTGTTTGCATTCTTGCTAAGCAACTGAAGTCCTCTGCGCTTATAAAAACATGTTAAGGCAGTATAATCGGGAGGGGGAAAACAAATGGCACAAAAAGAGCAAATAGCTAAACGTAGCTGGTTTGTTTTTCCCCGTCTTCCTCCTTTCTAATCTGGGAACAGGAAATAAGTCCAGATTCCAGGTTACAATATATTCATACAATACCCGGCTGTAAGCTTTTCCCAATGCAGCAATACACTTTGGCAACCATATGTGCAAAGCATGTATTATCCACCAGCAGGTGACACACGAAGTAGTACATCACAATTCACAGAAGTCTGTAGTTCCAAAGAACTCTAATGAAGGTATGCAACATACAGAATCCAATGCTGAAATACATTTTATACGCCAGGGCAAAGTGTGAGTCCAGTTTCCTAACAACTGACAAATGCTGAGCAGTTAGCAAGCCCTTGTACATGAAGATAAAATTTTTAAAAAGTAAATTACAACATTGTGGCATCAAGTCGTTGACTCAGAATTTAGACCAATTTAATAAAATGTGCTGTTATGCAACTATTTTGGCTAACAAAATATAAATAATTCAAATACCCCTTTAAAATCAATTCCACAACCAAAATCGGAATTCTACATGAAACACACAACTAATAATTCATCTTGTGAGAATGGGTGTGGCCAAACATATCTGAGTACCTCTCTATATGATAAAAACGCACGCTAAAAGGGTTCAGATAGTGAAAACAAAAAATCCTGTCTCTTCAGTTCAGAAATTTTGGACAAATACTAAGACTACAGTGGCACATATAGACGTTTCCCTTTTGCAACCAAAGTCAAAGTAGTGAGACAGACATGTCAGCGAAGGAGAAAACTGACAGCAGTGAACTGGGTTAGCATTTTAGCCAACATACAAGTGTTCTACCACTAGACACACATTACAATCCAGATACTGAGTACAGATGTCTGTACCAAGCCTGCCCATACAAACAGCATGATTTTAAACATAAGCTCAAGCTGAAGTCCAACCCCTTCAACTGAGTAGTGTCCTAAAAAACAAGAAGCAAAATTTCACCCTTTTCATATTCTGTTGCTATCAACTCTAAAGGGAAACCTGGACTCACTTTGGAGAGCAGTCAAAGACATCTCTGACCAGCAGTCCACAGACAAGACAACTTCGGGAAGGAAAAAAATAATTCACATTTTCAAAGTTATGGTGTTAAAATGCAAAGAAACTAAAGTTCTCTGCATGGGCAAGGTAAAAATATGTCCAACTGATCAAGAAAAATTAACCAGTGTGATCATTTTCTGAAGCCAACAGGCAGAAAGCAAGAAGGTCCTGGAAATAGCTTCAAATTAAAGATATTATAGCTTTTTGTTTAAAGCACCCAGCCGTAATGGGTATCAGCTGTTTTCCTTAAGACAGCCTATGAAAAAAACACTTTTACACAGGTAGAGAAAAAACAGCAAACCATATACAGGTCCCTTCGCCACCATTATGTGTGCTAAGTCACAGTAGAGCAAAGTAAAAGCCTAGAATAGTATAACACATTTTCTCAAGAAAAAAACATGGCAACTCATTCACGACTGGATGCCTATCAAGTCATCACCCTTATATCAACTCAACTGTGAATCACCATAATAGAGCTGCTTTTTTGCTCCTGCCAACGGCAATTCTAATGTGTGTAGAGTATAAAGAACTGGTCTACTTTGCCACCCCTTGACAATATATGGACAGTGTGAATGAAGAAAGTAGTGAAATGAGAAGAACCTAAGAAATTACACACCATCTGCACACAAAGAGGCTAACTCTCAAGATGGCCTGATTACAACAGCAGTGTGCAATGCTACCAGAGCAACTGAGCCGGAACAAGAAGCAAGAATCTGTAGCATGATGAACATCACAGTACAATACTCAGAGCAGATATACTTTACCATCCATGACTGCACATTTTACCTGACCTCCTTCTACTCATTCTGGTAAACATGTCATACATACATAGCCTGACATACAGCTCTCCATTAAGTGCTCTCTGACTGGCTGTCAGTCTCGCTATGGGTATCGGTTGTGTTGGTCTCCTCCCGGCCATTGGGCTCCAAGATATCGTCCACGTCGTATTTATCACTAGTGTGATGGACATCATTCTCTTGACCACAGGGTTCCATCATGTGCTCAGCTTCACAAGCCCTATTCACATCGTTGCAATTGCTTATTTTGGTCACTGGGGCAGCTTCAGAGGCCATAAACCCAACGGCGTTGGTGCTGCTGCAGACGGCTTTATGTCTGTTCATCTTGGGGGGGTCCGACATATAAGCATCTTCCTCATAGCTGGCAACTTCACCAGTTGTGTTTTTGTGGACCTCAGCCTTACAACGTCCTTGTATTGAAGGCACATGAGGAATGGGGCTGGAAATAAATAGAAAAGTATGTTCAAATGATTAAAAATGAACAATTGCAGATTTCGCTTCTGGTTTGGAGATCACCCAGGTCTATGTCACGTCAGTTATCATCATACACATTTTCAGCTGGTTCCTAATGTCAATTTCACATTTCATTAACAAGTGCAACCTCTTTGGCAAAACACCCAAAACAACCTAAAATTGTTCTCGTACCGCACGCCTCCTAACTGCTGGAAAAAACGTATAAAAAGACATGCTATTAATATTAGTCTTCAGTCTTTTGTAAATGCTATCTTAAAGTAAATGGTAGAATTCAGGAAAATCACCAGAAGTTATTATCACTTAATGGAAGATGTACTAAATAAAAATGACTTCAAGAAACATTTTAATACCAGAGGTATACTGAGAAAGAAACCAACCATTCCATGGATATCAACTGACCAAGAAGGACCAAGTCAAGTCGTGATGATTGATCTTGGCTGGTCATTGTTTATGTCCCAGAGTAAGAAGGAGGGCCTCTTGATCTGACCCTAGTACCCACCCACCCTCCCTCTGTGCTGTGCTAGGCTGCCCTATTCCTGTCCCTGCCTGGTCCCTGTATACCCTAGACAGGGAAGTCCCCTTTTCAGTACCCATGCCCGCATTCCAACCTAGAGACATGCACCTTTAAAATACAACAGCAGCTGTTTACCACTGTTCTGCCCCTCAGTGTTTGTGAGCTCACTGATATGTTGGTGATAACGCAGTGCCAGTTTAGTGCCAGTCCATTTTTTACCTTTCCCTAGCTGTAGTCTGGCTATTCCTGGACAAACACTTCACCTTTTTAGTCCTTAGACTTACTAAAAAGAAATAAATTATTTCAAATGCCAAATATTTATCCCCTTTATAATGAGGTCTTCCGCCAAAGGCAAAATGACTCATTTTTAGTTCATCATGAACACATGCAGTCAGGAATGGTAAAACAAATATGTATCATTATGGCTAATTTTCTGCTTGAGTGGCTATGTGCACTCTTCTGACACAAGTTCTAAATTACTGCCACAAAACCTATTTTCTGAAATGTATTATTATACTAATTATGTACTAATTATTATACCATTATACTATATTAGCATAACATCGTTATACCAATATTTGCTTTTCCATTTTTGTCAATGCAATATGTGCTAAAAACAAAACTGAAGGGAACTAACTTAGTTCTACAATTTTTAAAAAAAATGGAATAAAAGAACGTAACCAAAGTGACATTAAATAATATGGAAATTTTCACAAAGGTGCTAAATATCAATAGATGTAACCCTAAGTTTAACAGATCGATCAGATACTACTGAAAGCAGAGGCGTCAGTGACCGACAAGCAGTCACTCTGCTCTTCCTTATCTGTACGCTGTTCTGTCTAATGTAACACACAAGTACAGGAAGCCTGGAGTCAGAAAGCAGAGTAAACGGTTGCATCATTACAGCAGCAGCCGCCAAGGGATTTTGCCCAGAGGCGTCCAAACCAGACACAGATCCTTAACCTACCCGGCACCGCAATAGCTCGAACATAACGAAACTCTTTCTGGCTTATAGTAGAACCAAACCAAATAAGATCCACTGCGTGATTTTGTTGTCCTGTCTTGTACATATTTATCCAGATATTTCAGCCTTCCACTGTAGCATACCTGTCTGCTGACTCATAAGAAACTGTAAGCAGGCTGTCCTGCCAGGTCCCGCCCTCCTCCTGAACCCAGCCTCGATTGGAGGAGGCGTATGTCAGGATGGCTTCTGTCACTGTATAGGGAGTGAGTCCCTGCACGCAGTCTTCAATGTGTCCCAATGGCAGCTGTGTTTGCAGGAAGAGATGCAACTGGCTGTCCGACAAGCACACTGTCATGCTCAACACCCTACAGGTGCATACAAAAAAAAAAACAAAAAGAAACAGGAAAAGTTTAAAAATAATTTTATCTCCACCTACATGACTCAGCATTAGGTCTGAAGACTCTTTTTAATTAAACGTGATATTTTCATAAAAGCTGTAACAATATGAATCCATTACTCACAACTGCTGAAATCAGAACACTGGTTCTGGTGATATTCTGATTTGTGGCTAAAATGCTAATATGCTAACATTATGCATAAATGCAACATATTTCACCCAAACATCAATTTTTTCTGAAACATCAACATTTTAATATATTGTATATTTTGGGCTTTGCCTTTCTAAAGGAGCAGGAAATAATTTACTATGAAAGAATAACTGATCAATACAGCAAACACTGGAAGAGTGTTTTGTCTGCTGCTACAATTGCTAAACATAAAATTACACAGGCGGAGTAAATTATTATTACTCTCCAACTTCCATCTATCCAGCCATTTTGTTGTCCCGTTCAAGGTCGTGGGGGGTCTGGAGCCAATCCCAGAGGTTACGGGCACAAGACAAGGAATAACCCAGGATGGGGCACCAACCCATCACGGGGCACACTCACACACAATTCACTCACACCTATGGACACAAGGCAGGGAACAACCCAGGATGGGGCACCAACCCATCACGGGGCACACTCACACACAATTCACTCACACCTATGGACACAAGGCAGGGAACAACCCAGGATGGGGCACCAACCCATCACGGGGCACACACACACAATTCACTCACA